GTATGTTGCCATCGGAAAGGCTCCTCCTTGCTGTCATCTGTCAGGGCCAACTCTGCGGGCCTGGCCCTTGTAGGGTCTGCTGCTTCCAGATCTCCAGTGGTCCTTGCTTTACAGCCCTTAATCCTGCTACAGCTCTTTCTTGTCTTCTCTTCTGCTCTCTTCCTTCTTCTGACAGCTTTTCTTTCTTCTTTCTGTCTGAAAATCTCTGTGAAGTGCTGTACATGTGCATGAACTCCACTCCATGTCAATTCCATTAGCAGGGCTGGGAACTGAACAGATGCTTCATTTGCACAGTCTATTGACTCATAAGATATCACTAATCAAAGGGCAAGCTGCAACCCGGGACCAGACCAAAGTATCAAACCAACTTGTTCACAGCCTTATCCAGGAAATGTCAATCCTCTGTGCTAGAAAACTGGATCAAAGATAACTGCTAAAGTTTAGAAGAAAACGATCTCAAGCTGTTTTTTCAAAGAACCAAGGCCAAAGGCCATATAAAGGAAGTCATTTCACCATAACGCTGAAACTGATGCTGCTTCTCATTTTTCCTGTTCCTTTAACTAAATCCCCAGCTCCTCAAAACCTAGTGGATGGGTCTACTTATCTTTATAATGCTCCTTCTGCGACCTGGCAGTGTGGAATTTCCCTCTTAGTTACTCTCCTGTGCTGATTCTGTGGAGTCCCTCTGATATGTGTTCCTCGATCGCCATCTTCCCAGAAGTCGTAACAGGCATCTTTAAAGTAGCCCTATTATGGAGGGATATCGGAAAGATGAATTTTAGTATGGAGAATGTGACTGGGAGTCATCTCTAACTCACAAATGTGAAGGTCTTTCTGCACCACACTTGGCCTTCTGGACTCTTAATTATGAGCACTGAGAATTTGGCCACATACATTCTCTTCTGCATCCTTGGTTTGCCACAGGAGGTTAAGGACCGAGGTACACATGAACCAAGCCATAGTATTTCTGATCACTTAAAATGCATGTGAAAGTTGGACATTAAACAAAGAAGACAGAAGAAGAACCGATGCATTTAATTGTGGTGCTGCTGAAGAATATTGAAAACACCATGGACTGCCAAAAGGATAAACACATTTGTCTTGGAATTATGGCCAGAGTAGTACTTAAAGGCAGAGATGGTGAGACTTTGTCTTATGTATTTTGGACATGTTGTCAGGAGAGACCAATTCCTGGAGTAAAATATCATGCTTAGTAAAGGGGAGGGGCAGCAAAAAAGAAGGCCCTCAATGAGACAGACTGACATCCTGGAGACATCAATGGTCTCAGGCACAGGAATAGTTGTGAGGATGTTGCAGGGTCGTGCAGTGCTTTGTTCTATTGTGTGTTCTACTTGAAGTGCAATGCCGTCTGTGATAGGATTATGTCTAGTGCCTTCATGGCCATCCAATCAAATGCAACTGTTTTTCAAATGTGTGCGCCAACCATGAAAGATAGTGATAAAGAAATTGAAAACTTCTACCAGCTTCTTCAGTCTGCAATTGTTCAAACACTCAATCAAGATACATTGGTAATTATTGGTGATTGTAAGTCCAAGGTTGGAGAAAAGCCTGAAGTTTTAAAGGATTTTGTCTTACTTGGATCCACAATCAATGCTCATGAATATGATATTTTAGTTTGTCTTCTTGAGCTGTCCTTGGGAATTTTCAGTCTGTTTTTGACTTCATCATTTCATCTCTTTGTCTTAGTTATTCTACGACTAAGAACAAGTTTCAAAGTCTCTTCTGACATCCACTTTGAAATTTTCTTTCTTCCTGGTCTTGTTAATGACCTTTTGCTTTCTTCATGTCTGATATTCTTGATGTCATTCCACAACTCATCAGGTCATCTGTCGTTAGTGTTCTATGCATCAAATCTGTTCTTGCAATGTTCTCAAAATGCAGGTGGGATATACTCAAGTTTTGGGCTTTAGTGGGCAGTTTAGAGTTTATGTCAGCTTCAGCTTGAACTTACATATGGACAATTGGTGGCCTATTCCACAATAGCCCCTGATCTGGTTTAGCTGCTGGTATATAGCATGCACATAATCTCTTTCTACAGATTTAGTCAATTTGATTTCTGTATATTTCATCTGGAGATGTCCACGTGTATAGCCACTGTTTCTGTTGTTGATAAAAGGTATTATGCCTCCTGGGAATGGGGCAATTACTACACGATTAATTCAGGGACTCACTGGACCCACTGTGAGGTCAATTTGAGTTTACCATCTATTAATAACTTAACACCCCACTCTGACTAGTGAACCTTCTAAATATTTGGGTCTCCTGGAGTTAGTGTCACATCAGAGCCAGTGTCCAGTAATCCATGAAAAGTCTGATTGTGTCTGAAGAAATAAAGCTTTCTTCATGGTACACACGGAAATTATCAGGTCTATTTTGTGACACTTGAGTTGAACTCCTGATATCTGAGCTTATCCCTTTCTTTGACCAGGGTGTCTATCATAAGTATGATTAACCAGCCCGCTTTCTCATACTTGTCGTCCTGACAACATTGTTGAAAAATAGCAATATTCTATCCCTTAAAGATTCGCATCTCACCAACACTTCCTCTACTGGTGGTTATATTTAGGTATTAACGTTGCCACCTAATGACATTGATTAAAGAAAGGCGATCCAACACAATGCTTACACTAACAGAGGCAGACGCAGAGCTTTCAGTGTGCTTCCAATTTAGAAAACTCATTATTACATTTTGTTTTCATAGAACCACTCCTGGTACCAAATGTGTTAGGCTGAGTTCTCTAGAGAAGCAAACTCACACACACACGCACACATACAATTTCATCTCCAGAAAGTGGCTCACACTTCACATTGGGAAGGGATGAGCAACAATAATTATAGAGAACTCAGGGGAAGAATAAATCCAGTACTATGTTCCAGGCTAGGCACTTTTGAATTACTTTCTTTTTTGTTGTTGGAACATTTGATTAGATTTTTTTTTTTTTTTACCAAAATGATGGAAACAAAACCCAGGACAGAAATAATAAGATATATTAGATGATAATTCCCAATACCTCTGAATCTATACCCCTGCTCTAACTTTAAACACACACACACACACACACACACACACCCCAAGCTAATAATTATAAAATATAAGCAGAAATAAATTTCTGAGTTAGAGAATTATAAATCACAAATTTCTATGTTGATAATGACAACTGATTAAAAAACTAAACAAAAGGTAGCTGATTATCTAAAATATAAAAGATGTGATGTCTGTCCTTTGAAAATGATATCCCAGTTATTTTAGTTTTGATCAAAAATAATTATTGAATTACTGAATATGATTGCACAAGCAATCAGGAATATCATTTCTCAAAAGTACATTATATCATGACAATGACTGAGACATATATAAATCATAGAAGCATGAATGGATTTGAGTCTTGCACTTAATTCTAGCATCAATCCAAAAACAATTTATTTCTACAACACACCACTAGTTGATGCTTGCCTTCAAGAGATTCCTCAAGATATAGGTGCCACAGCAAAATGTGGCGAGGAAACCAGATGGTGCCTGCCTATCAGATGGA